ATATTATTATAGCTTTATTCGTTTAGTTGGCATAGAACAATTGGTTTGATAGTTGCTTGTAATTGTAATTGGAAAGATTGCTTTGCTGGAGATTCGTTCGCGGATTATCAAAGTTCGGCTGGGTCTTCTTCTTCATCCGTGTTCATCGAAGTTTCTTTCGATTCGATAAGTTGAAGTTCCGTCTCATTACCTACATGTGATAATTATGATACGTAAATGAAGGATTCTCACTCTTCCACTTCTTCAAACGGTTATACAGTCCAACCATAATGGCATAAGCAACACAACCAACCAATGTGAAGCCGAAAGCAATAAGGTAGACTGAAAGAAGTATTCCTCTATAACTCAATAAAGCTTACCAGTACTCAGAAACTTTGAGTAAGAACTGTTTGGATGATTGCGATGAAGGTAACATAACAGCAGAAAACCACTGATGATCAGCCCCACTGGGAACAAGCTGAGCTCTAATTTCATAATATCCTTCTTACTTGTAGTTACAGATCCAGGATTCTCCATGAAGAATTGGATGATATCGTCTATCATCTTACTTAGTGGTACACACTACAAATAATATATAAATAATATAAATACATATTTAATATATTAAATATTAAAATAGAAATATTACCTTTGAACTATCCATGCTTGTAGTGTACAATCACACAGAATGACCAAATTATAATATTCACATAGTTATATAATACAATAATGACTAATAATATGATTAATAATTAAAAACAAAATGAAAAAACAACAAAGTTCTGATGTTTCATCATCATACAACAAGTTACGAAATACAAAACTTAAATTCAAACATTATCCAAGTGGGAGGTCTGGCGCGGAGCATGAGCTTGTGCGCGCCAATGGCAATTAGCGCAAGCGCCTAGATTGCGCACCGTATCCCGTACGGTTTAACAGGTTTAAGCATTGTCCAGCATTTTCCAGCATTATCAAGCATTAACCATATACATTTATATATAATTATATATATTATTTTAAATCATTTCTTTTGTTTTATAATAAATATTATAAACTGAATAAATATTTCTTTGAAATGAAATGATTATGAAAGTTAGAAGAAACAGTTTGTTAAATGATTAAAAGGATTTATAACACTATAGAATTCTAATTTATAATAAAAACATTTATATGATATCTAAAACTGTAATAATGAAACCGGTAAGACTGTATGAATTGTTTGAGATCAATGAAACTAGAAGGATAGTACGTAGAAGTCACTTTCTTCG